ACAGATGCATCTCAAGCAGGTCCAAGGAGGTGATACTCCGCCTCTATGCAGCACTGGCCAGGCTGCAGCTGGAGTACTGCGTCCAGTTCTGGGTGCTGCACTTCAAAAGGGATGTGGACAGCATGGAGAGGGTCCAGAGGAGGGCCCCTCCCATGATCAGGGGGCAGCAGGGCAGGCCCTACGAGGAGAGGCTACGGGACCTGAACCTGTTCAGCCTCCACAAGAGAAGGCTGAGGGGGGATCTAATGGCCTGTTACAAACTAGTCAGAGGGGACCACCAGGCACTGGGGGAGTCCCTGTTCCCCCGAGCACTACCAGGTGTGACTAGAAATAATGGTCACAAGCTGGCAGAGGGTAGATTCAGACTAGACATCAGGAAGCGCTACTTCACTGTCAGGACGGCTAGGGTCTGGAACCAACTTGCAAGAGAAGTGGTGCTGGCTCCTACCCTGGGGGTCTTTAAGAGGAGGCTAGATGTACACCCTGCTGTGGTCGTTTGACCCCAGTGCTCTTTCCTGCCATGACAGGGGTCAGACTTGATAATCCGCTCAGGTCCCTTCCGACCCTACTAACTATGAAACTATGAAAAGACCAAGTCCAGTACAGGTGGTCCTCAGACTTACAACACAATTGGTTTCTGAAAACTAGGTCTTAAGTCAAAACATAGTAACTCAGAACCAATTTTCCCATAAGAACAATGTTATAAATGGGGGATTGGTTCCTTTACCACCATCGACACAGCTGTGTCCAGCTGGTAAGTCTGATGGGGGGAGAAGGGAAAGGAAAGAGGCATGGAGAGACAGATCAGTGTCCCTGCAGCGAGGGAGGAATTGGGGCTGGAGCTGGGGCAAGCATTGCCCTGGGTGGGGGTGGCACAGCTTGTGCTGCTGCACACCACTGGTCCAGGAGCTGCTTGTGTGGCAGCTTGTCCAGTGGCTCTTGCCACTGCTCCTGCCATTGGTCCAGGAAGGCACGGGGTGGGGTGGCGGAAAGAGGCATATGCCTCAGGGTCTGCATGAGGCAGGCAAGGCCAAGGCTGTGCTCTGGGTGGAAGGCACTGGGAGCAGGGACTATGCCTCTATGCCACATGCCCAGCTGGCGTGGGGCTGGCACGAGAGACTGAGCCACCACACTGCCTCTGGACAAGCGGCACACAGTGACGGGATCCAGCCTGACCTCCCCATGCCTCCCAGATGAAAAGCAGCTTCACCCTGGCTGGGCAAGCAGCAGCAGGGCATGGGGGAGGGCACTGATCTGCCCCCCCCCCCCAACGCCCGTTCCCTCCCCGTTCCTGCACCACAACAGACTTACCACCTGGACACAACGGTGTCGACCATTGTAAAGGCAAAACCAGTGTGGGAACCTTGAAACAAGGCATCAATTTACAAACCTCATAAATGGTGTTCGTCGTAACTTGAAAAGTCATAAGTCAAGGACTGCCTGTATTCCTTCATTTGTGAAATGGGTGTCAAAACTAGTCACATTTTCATCTGCACAATTTGTAATGCACCACCCCATTTTAAGAGATTACCCATCAATTTGCATTAGCATATACAAGTGTTGATTCTTTGAGTGTTAATTTCCTTATTTTGTAGATCTCAAACACCATAAAACTTTATGGTTAAATTGACGCATAGACATGCAATACCAAGCAAATCCTAACCAAGAGTCCAGACAGTGAGAGATCCAAATCTTTATACCCATGACTTCTGCATGAATTATATTTTGGTTTTATCCAGTCTTACAGTATGCTCTGGTCTCCTAGGGCAGGCCATTTTTGACAAATTGGCAAAATATCTCCTCACACACACATCATCATGAAAAAGATTGGGCAAGTAGGTAAAATGATTGAAAGGAACCATCAAGTGCCCCTGACTAGGAAAACTGTAAAAACTCTTTTGTTGGGAGACTGGGCAGGGACCTACTTGGGATGGTTTAGGAACAATGAATCTTGTATCGGTTCAGAGGACTGGACAGGGTGACTCGAGGCCCCCTCCAACCCCACAATTCTATTACAATGTGGAAGTACAACTTTCTTACTGATCCTAAAAATAGCTTTGCCTAACACAATTTAAATCTAGTATTTGATGGTTTTTTGTCCCCTCCTCTTACTTACCAATTATATTAAGAGGTAGATTTAGCGTTGCTGCTGTTACAATGGCTGAACACACAGTCGCTGCTCCTCCCATATCTGCTCTCATTGCATCCATACCTGAAGAAGGCTTTAATGAAATGCCACCACTGGAGAGGTGCAGAATAGAAAATCCCATTCAACAATTATGAATTTAACACTATATGACTTTCAAATAGCTCCTGGGTTCATCAGTATATTTTAACAGTAACATCAATAAATGCAGGGTAGAGAGGTCATTTTTTTTTTAGCAAAACTTTGTAAGTGTCCTTAAAAGCAGCATACCTGATTTTTGTAAAAAATAAGATCTGTCCAAATCATCTCTTTGTAGTAGCTTAATAGGACATAATAAAACCACTCCTAATTTGCAATGTACTGAATATAACACAACAGATGTGCATTACTCTTCCAAATATAATTCACAAGCCAGTCACCATAGTACACGGGCAAAGTAGTAGCCATAGTAAATCAGTATAAAGTAGAGCAGATTAATGAACTACTCAATAGTTGCTGTTTCAAGCAAAAAAGGTTTTGAGACCAACTGCTGTAAGGACTACAGTCTTTTCACTCTGCCCAAACACATTTGAAAGCAAAAGCAGATGCTCTGTAGGCGACTGTTTATTCCAAAAATTACATCCCTTATTGAAAGCTATATAAAAGCCAAAATCAATAAATAAGCAGCAAGGATTTCTTAGGGCGATATTTTTATTGGACCAGTTAGGAAGTTGGAATATAGTTAGATAAGCTTGTTTGAACACATGAAATTCTTGTATCCCTGATAAAGAATGTCTTGCATTTGAAAGATTGTCTAAAACTTTATTCCAACTATGTAATTTGTCTAATAAAAGATATCACTAAGAAATCCTTGCCTCCTGCATCATTTCTGGACCATCCCAGCTACATCATGCTTGTACTAAAATAAACACACACACAATCATTTAGGTCAGTCCCACGCCTGCCATCCTACTGAGGCTCTATTTCACTTTTAGAAGCAAAAGGATGTCAGGTCTGCATGATGCAGACTCTTAAACTTGCCCTATCCCAGAGATATTCAACTTATCTTTTAAGGCTGGTTCATGGCAATGTCATTGAAGGATATATTGAGGATGAGGAAAGCATCCCCCTCCACATATAGTATTAGAAGGGAACTAGCCAGAATTCATCCTCGCTTAGTTAAGCTCACCCAGAGGATAACCTTTAAGGGGGTTACAGTATCAGAAATGAGTAGCTAAACTTCATTGCTAGTTACTCTAAGCACTCTCCAGTTTCACAGACAGAAAGAAAAAGAGAGGTAGTTAGCTGTGTTAGTCTCAAGTGCAGCAGAAGGTGGAGCAGGGTGGTACCTTAACAGGTTTAGAGGGGCATAAACTGTCGTAGGTGACATCCTGCTTCATCAGATACTATATTAGAAAGGAAGAACGCAAAGATGTAAAGAGCTCTCTTCCCTTATGTCAAGAGACACCGTCCTCTCACCAGAAGAGGAGTTGTGGAACCTTTGATTCCTGCACTCCCAACTCACTCAAAGCATTACCTTAATACCATATTTACTTGGATACCACAAATACCTTTTGCCTAAACATCAGTTCCCAGAATTGGGATGTGTGTCTTGAGCAGAGAAGCACCCCATGTCAGCAACACCCTGCTTTGATTGCTGCTTCCAGCCACAGTGGCATTTCTATTCAGACAGTTTAGGGAATCAATTTAGTCCATGGCTCATTGATCTTCACTCCACAGGTGTTTATGATCATATCGCCTTTCTAATGATCTTGATGTTCCATTTATCAAGCTAATCTTTCTTCTAGCAAATTTACTGTCTTCTAGTTACTCCTAGTCTCTTTTCTCCAATTCCATATTGCTGCAGACTGTTTTTAGCTCTTTTCAGAAATCACAGATCCACCCACAGAGATTAGTTTTCAGCAGCTAGGGTTTCAGCTCTTGATAAGCATGAAAGAGAAGATGAATACACTGAAGATAAGGCTCTGTCCCTGCTCTATGCATCTCTGGAATAATCTTTTTTTTGTATTCCATCTTCCCAAAAACATGGTGTGTGTCTTATCTGGGGGCATGAATTATGCAAGACAATACAGTACTAATTGTGGGACTTATTAGTTTACTAGCCAACTCCATGCATGAGAGTGGTAGAGATGAAGTAATAGCTTTGGCCTATGTAAAGGCATAGAGCAGAGATGGCTGACCTGCAGCATGAGTACAAGTGGCATGGCCAGCCTCTGTGTGTGGGGCACACAACAGATCATGGAGGGGACAGACCACAGGGGGGAAGATCAGGCAGGGAGCAGAAAGCAAAGCATGAGATCAAGCAAGGAGCAGATCAGGAAGACAAAAGCAGAGCAGGAGATCAGACAGGGTGAACAGGGTATGGAACAGAAAGCAGAGAAGCAGATTGGGAAGAGGATTGGAGTGACATTTCAGGAAGGTGTGGGGTCAATTTATAGCACACTGAAAAAAAATGCCCCCCACTGGCACAGACAGCAGCAGACACAGTGCTGTACTATAAAAGACTTTTTTTCTCCCTTAGTTTTTTTTCTGGAGAAATTGACCAAACACAAATCAGCCTCTCTGACCCTCTGCAGCAAGTAAGTTCCCAGGCTGATTTACTGATCAAAATAGACTTCTTAAAATTACTTTTAAAAGACAAGAGACAAAGTTTTCATAAACAAAGTTTTAAATTTTTTTCCATAAGAGCTCATATCAAGACAATACCAGAGGCTCATACAACACCTAGATAGATTTTAGGACAAAAGCATTTTAAATAGTTTCCCTTTACATACTGAACTCACCTTGAAGATGCTGCAATTCCCTTGAAACAACTGAAAAAAACCCACTAACTACAGGAGCTGACTCATACAAAGGAAACACAGAAACCTCAACTTGGCAATCGAACAAGACAGAAGCATATTTACTTGACAAGTTCTGTTTTACATACATTTACTTGGTATATTTAAACCCATGGATACTCTGCTACAGGTTAAGAACTTTATTAAGTTTTGCTATTGAAGCTCTGCATTTCTGATAGTTTTATTCTATTTATTCATTTTATTTCTACTCTATTCTTATTTCAGACAGTTCTAGGAGAAAATTCATTAAACAAAAATTATTGCTATTACTACTAAATGAGTGAACATAGAGATTTTACTGGCTGAGAAATAAAACTGGCAAAACATTCATTTTAGAAAGAGGGAGATTTATAAAATTCCAGTGTTTCCCAAAATGTATTAAAGCCAGATGCTCTCATTGGCCAATAAGAAAATCCTCTCTTTTAGTGATTTTCAAAAGAAAAAAGGTGATATCTATTTAAATTTAAAATACTGTTGATTTTCCAAGTAAGAACAAACAGTAGCACTAACAGGCCTATTAGTATGTTCAATCTGATAAACTCTTTAATTTGTTGGCATATTTGCTGGCATTCCTCCCTCCTGCCCTGCAATTTAACACTACACAATGAAACAGAAGAGCTTTAGATAATTAGCATGTTTTTGGGAACGTAAGCAAGTGGCACACTAGCAAATATTTTGCTGCTTCAAACAAAAACCACAAGTGGGTCAAATATTAATATGATTACCTATCAAATGTAACTCCTTTCCCAACAAGCACCAATGGAGGGTCATTTGTATTAGCGCTGCCGGAATAGTGAATCTCCAAAAAGACTGGAGGCTCCTCTGAACCCTTAGCTACACTCAAGAATGCTCCCATCTGCTGCTCTTCTATCCAGGATTTTGATCTGCAATACAGACAATATTTATTTTAATAAAATTAATTAAAATAAACTGAACCATCTGTACAAAAAAATTATAACTGATAAGAAGTTATAAACCTATCTTCAAATAATGCTATAATCCCCTAGATAACAGACTGCAAAATAAATCAAGTCCCATCCATTACTACTCCTTCATGGGTGGGTAGCTTTTTTTCCCCCAGAAATTATAGAGCTGAAAAATATTAGGCCTTCATATCTCCGACCTTGCTTTCTGGGGGATCTGAATAAAATGGTCATGAGACTGCACCTGAATGCACCAAAGCACAAAGCTAGATCTATGGTATCAAGGAAACTACTACAAGCTCTGGGCAAATTAATGACAAGTAATGTCTGTTTGCTTACCATTTCCAAAATGTGAATAAATATGAACTGGAATTAGGGATGTAGAATTCATTAGAAAAATAATATAAAACAAAAGTAACATGAAACAGATACTAAAAAGATGGGAAGTGGTACCTCTAGTCTATTCACTGATCCTTATTTCAAGCTCTCTCTTTAGCACTCTATGGGTGTGTCCACACATCACCTTACAGTGCTGTACAGCACACTAAGGTGACACAGAGATCATGCAGGTCTACATGCGATTGCCAGCTACATTGCCGCAGCAGCATGCTCCCATGGTATAGCATGCCACTACAGCAACATAGCAGCGAAATCTAACCGTGCACCGCGTGTACAGCAGAGTAACTGCCTGTACTGTGTCATGCTTTAGGTACTTCCAAAGATACTAAAGGAAGTACAAAAAAAGTACTAAAGCCCAGTGCCATAGTAACATCACCATACAACGACACGTAGACGCACCCTGTGAACTGCTCGTCATACTGACCCGGTAGGTCACTTGTTCACCTTCTCCTAGAGTGCTTCCTCAGCCTACTGAGGTGGCTAGGATCCTTAATACCCAAAACAGGAGTAACTTGCAATTGCTGGGCACTAACTACAGAACTCATTTATTTACATTTTACACATAAATATCTGCCTTTCACTTGTCCACTAAGATGACAACAGGGAAAAATGGGAAAACCCCTATAACATTTTATATGCTGCACCTTAAACCAACAACAATTTCCAAGGGAATGATTTAAACTGAATTCACCTGATATGGATCTTCACGCCGCTATTAGCAGCTTTGAGTTTCTGTTCAACAAATTCAGCAAATTTAATGGGTGTTATATAGTTTGCTGGGGCCTCCATCAAGTGTCGAGCCAAGTTTTGACCTTCACCGTAGATTGTACCTTTTTGCCAGGCTTCTTTTCCATCACTGGAAAAATCACATAATTAACATCATTATGAACCCTTGAAAAGGAAGGTGCATCATCGTTTAGCTGCTTCCTACATTCTGAAAGTAAAACTGCCCAACTGTATGGTACAAAGGGATGTGACAAAAAGATGAGGACAGTAATGGATCAGATCCAAGGCCTACCTGGGTCCAGTAACCCACCCAACAGCAGTTGCCACCAGATGCTTCAGAAGTAGTTGTAAGGACCCTGCAGTGAGTAGATACGGAATTATCCAGAACAGGTTTTGGCAACCCCTGGCACACGTGCCAAGCATGGCACGAGGCCATTTTGCTCGGCACACCACGGCCAGCCCCGGCTCTAGGTAGCTGCTGCCAGCTGGGAGCCCCAGCTGCTCCCAGCAGGGCTTGCAGCATCCCAGCTACCTGTCGGGAGCAGCCCAGACTCCCAGCTGGCAGCAGCTACCCAGAGCCGGGGCTGGCTGCAGCCAGGAGGCTCTGAACAGCTGTGCCGGGCTCCAGGCTGGTGCATGCACCCGCAGGTTGGAGTGGGTGGTGGGGAGGGGCCTGAGGCAGCACAGCCCTGGTTTCTCCCCCGCTCTCGCCATGGAGGTGATAGCAGGGTTCCAGAGTCTGGCACAGGTGTTTGGAGCCAGCCCTGGCTCTGGGCAGTGGCAGCAAGCAGGCTGCAAACAGCTACGCCGGGCTTCATAGCTCTGGCATCAGCTCCATGCTGGTGGCAACTGCACGGGCACTTCAGGGCGGGCTGCGCTGCCCCACTGGCGACTCCAAGGTGCACACGCAGTCGCCGCCAGCATGGAGCTGATGCCGGAGCTATAGAGCCCTATGCAGCTGTTTGCACCCTGCCCGCTGCAGCTGCCCAGAGCCCCAGCTGGCTGCAAAGAGCTGCACCAGGCTCCGGAACCCTGCTATCACCTCCGTGCTGGGAGTGGGGCAGAGATTGGGGCTGCACTGCTTCAGGCCCCTCCCCCACTGCCTGCTCTGACGTGCGGGTGCACGCGCCAGTACGGAGCTGATGCCAGAGCCTGGCACAGCTGTTTGGAGCCTCAGAGCTGCAGCTGGCCCCAGTTCTGGGTGACTGCTGCCACCCAGGAGCCCAGGCTGCTCCTAGCAGGCAGCTAGGATGCTGCAAGCCCTGCTGGGAGCAGCCTAGGCTCCAGAGCCAGGGTAGCTGCTGGCAGCCAGAGCCTGAGCTGGGGGGCAGGGGCTTTGGGTGGGGGGCAGGGGGCACAAGGAGGGCATCCTGCCATGTACCCCTTGCCCTCGTTTTGTTTTTCTGGCATGGTAGCACTCCGGCACCTTCCAAGGTAGGCATTGTAGTGTTTTTCGGCTCTCCAGTCAAAAAATGTTGCCTACCCCTGCCTGATCTAGAAAATTATCCAAAACGTGTTCACCTTAATTATGCTGATTCTGGAAATTATTACGCTCCAAGTGTCCATCCTTTTTTTGTGAACCTTGCTAAATTAGGATTATTAGACGAAAGTGAAGCCTGAGAAGGAGGATTCTTGCTTCACAGCACAGCTCTGGTCACTAGGCCTGTGCAAGTCGGCAGTGACCCGATCTGGCTGCTTCGGATGGCCGTGATCCAATCCAGAGCTCCGGACCAGGTTTCCGCCTCAATCCGGCTGAAGCAGCCACCTCAGAGATCCAGCCATAGGGTATAATGGGGAATCAATGAAATATCTGTAACTTTGTTGTTTTTTGTCTGATTTAGATTAAACTTGCAGGGATGGTAGCCTCTGCTGAGAGAATGAAACCCACCAAGTTTCAAGAAAATCAGTGCAGGGGCTTGGGGGGAACTGTACCCCAAATTCTTGAAAGCAAAACTCATGTCACAGCTGTGTTATACTACCGGGGGGGGGGGTGTCAAAACTGCATGGGTGGTAGCTTTTACTGAGGCCACAAAGCAAAACTTGTGACATGGGTGACACTGCGTGTAAGGCACAGCGCAGTGACAGCTGCAGCGATGGTGGCCCCTGCTGAGGCCAAGACGCCTGCCAGCTGTTAAGGACATCGGTGCAGGGGGGTTTTGTGGCCCTGCACCCCTAGCTACTGACAGGCAAAACTTGTGCCAAGACTGCCTGTCTTGGGGCAGTTGTCTGTATTGATTCTTTCCTCTCCTTAGCCTGGTTTTGTAGCTGCTAACTGATTCATAGATTCATAGATTCATAGATTAAGGGTCGGAAGGGACCTAGTAGATCTTCTAGCCCGACCCCCCGCCAGGCGGGAGAACAACAAAAACCCCTGATGCTTGTTAAGTAGCTAGGTCCTGTGTACTGAGCTGTCCCAGAGCGAATCATGATTGATTGATTGGTAACTGGTAACACAGCAGCTCAGCAGCCAGGCCTGCAGTAGTGTCTTCCAGGCCCCAAGCCAGAGACAGTCAGTCCCACAAGCACCCATGGCAAGAGTTTTGCTTGTCCGCTGCTTGAGGGGCAGCTCCCCCCAAACCCCTGCACCTATCTCCTTGAAATGTGGCAGACTTTGTGGCCTCAGTAAGAGCTACCACCCCTGCAGTTTTCACCCCGCTATGTTGTAACACCTAGATGTGACATGAGTTTTGCTTTCAAGAATTTGGGGTGCCGTTCCCCTCAAAGCCCTGCACCAATCTTCTTGAAACTTGGCAAGCTTCATCCTGTCTGTAGAGTCTACCACCCCTGAAAACTTCATCCAAATTGGACAAAAAACAACAAAGGTATAGATACTTTATTGTTTCCCCATTATACTCTATGGCCAGATCTCTGAGGCGGCTCCAAAGCTCTTCGGGAGCTCCGAACCACTTTGGGAAGCCTAACAAGGCCAGCACTTCAACCCAGATGTGCTGCTTTGGACCCCGAAGCTTCTCCGAATCCGAAGCTCTGTCTGAAGCCTCGCACAGCACTACTGGTCACTGTCAACAGCCTAAGTTGTTCACAGAGGGGCACCTCTACATCCTAACTAGGAAAGAATAATTGCTCCCATTTTACATGTGGGAAACTGAAACACCAAGAAATTAAGTGATTTGCCCCAGGTTACAAAGGAAGTTTGCAACACAGCTGGGAACTGAACACAATTCTTCTAATCCAACTTGCACTGGTAGCCACAAGAGCAGGCATTTTCTGAGATGTTACTATTTCAGAGACCAGTAATTTAAAGAAAAAGGTGGTGCTAATTGGGGAAACAGAAAAATGCAACATTATGGTATACCAGTATGGTTATGCCTGCTGCTGTAGCCCAGGGGTTAGCCTGCCAGCTTCTCAAGGCAGACACCTGGGTTCAAAACCCACAACTGCCTTGACCTGAGGCTCTTGGCTGCATGTCCGGTTGCCTTTGTTTTTAGAACAGGATACCCAGAGAAATCATGGAATCTTCATCCATGGAAGTTTTCGAGAGCAGGTTAAAAAGACAAATGACTAAGATGATTTAGTCATTTAGGATCCTGTCTTGAGTGGAGTGTTGGATTAAGTGACGTTGTGAGGTCCCTTCCAGCCCTACTTTCCTATGAGCAGGATATGCTTAAGAGCATTAGCTTTCTCTAGATTATTTCTAAAAGAGTTTTTCAAGGGAGAAGCTTACACTACTTAACCATGTATACCTGGGACTTATGCTCAAGGAATGATATTTCTTTCACATAGGGTGTAAATGCAGGAGACCTACAAGTTACTGGAGTAATAAAAGGTTACAACAAAAGGCACCGGAGTTAAAAAAGGAAAATCGGGGAACTTTGCTGGGGAAACTATTATGAGAAAACTGTTATTACTTTCAGCTCCTGAGTGACAGTGCAGGCTCAGGGGTGATCTGATGGCCACCTATAAGTTTATCGGGGTGACCACCAGGATCTGGGGGAACATTTGTTCACCAGAGCGCCCCAAGGGATGACGAGGTCAAACGGTCATAAACTACTGAGAGACCATTTCAGGCTGGACATAAGGAAGAATTTCTTTACTGACCGAGCCCCCAAGGTCTGGAACAGCTTGCCATCGGAGGTGGTTCAAGCACCTACATTGAACACCTTCAAGAGAAAATTGGATGCTTATCTTGTTGGGATCCTATGACCCCAGCTGCCTTCCTGCCCTTTGGGCTGAGGGCTGGACTCGATGATCTTCTGAGGCCCCTTCCAGCGCTAATGTCTATGAAATCTATAATGGACAAAGATTAGGGGTGGGGGGGAACTTTCCCTTTGGGCGAATTATTAAAATTGGTCACTGTAAATATTTCTGGTATCCTCCTCCAATATATATGGTACTGGCTACAGCTAGTGACTGGGTATTAGATGAACTGTTTGTCAGATCTGGTGCAGCATTTCCTTTTCCTGGGAAGGGTTTGTTCATTAATAGAGACAACTCCCACACTTCATGGGACTATGAAAAGTACCACATAGCTCATAAAAGACAGAGGTGTTTTGCCTCTTCTTCTTTCTTAATCCCAAGCCCTTTGTTGCTTAATTTGTTCTTGCCCCCATAACATACCAACAGTGACAACAGTGATTAGCCTGTGAAGCAAATGCTGTAGAAATAACTTGGTTGCTAAAATATTTCATGCAACACTGATTAAATCGAAAAGGGATAGTGAGGTAGAAGTGACACATATGCTAAGTATCCAAATGTTTTAAAAGTACAACTTTGTTTGCCATCACCTTCCATGTAGCTGAGGAGTAACGACAGGCTTCTTTCTTTTCTTAAACTCATCGTACTCATACAATCCAAGGACGGCTCCTTCTGCAGCAGCCTGAGCATCTCCACAGGGGTCCACTTCAACACAAGGGATCTCTAGATCCTGAACCTGCCTGCATCCAACTGGATAAAACAAGACATTGATAAGATTGTGTCCTCAACAGAAGGCTTTGAAGCAATTATTTTCAAGGAGAAAAAACAAGTATTATGGACACCTGCTAAAAAGACAGAAACCATCCAAAAAAAAAATCCAACAGCAAAGGCTATATCCATGATTAAAAAGGCCACATATTGGTAATATTCAGACATTTATGAACTCTGAATATAATTTATCAAGTAACTTAGCCAATAAGCATTTCACAATAACCTTATGAAAAAAAGAGATAACTACACAATTCTGGGGCATTTTGGTAATCAAAGTTTCAGGCCATCACAAATAAAGTTGTAGTACAATATATTGCTAATAAACTTACCTTTAAAAAAATTGCAAAAGCCTTGCTACAGGCACTTTTATAACTGGCAGAAAATCCAAACATACTATACAAACTCTCCTTTGCCTATGAAAAGCTTAACGATGGTTAAGCCACAGGCCCCGTAATATCAATCAGCACTCTCACTTGCTTCTTTGGGCTTCCCAATCTGTGTCCCTGTCTTGCACTTAAATTGGGGCATGGAAGTGTTTTTGTTCTGTGTGTACAGAGCTCAGCATGATGCTCTTGGTTACAGTTCCTACCTGCTTCAGTAAAAATAATAAATCATAAGGTTTGAGTTTGTCAAATATGAAATCCCTCCTAATTCAAATTCTAGACAGAGAGAGAATTTATGAAGTTACTAGATGCCTTATAACCATATTTCATTACCCAGAGTACGCTTTCAGGGATAGGAGAAAGACCTTGCAACCTCAAAAGCTCCTTCTGCTTCCACAGATAAGGAAATGCATTTAAAAAATTTTTTATGTAAATCTCCCTCACAGAATAAAATGAAATCTTACCTATAATCTAAGTAACATGAATAAATATCTAGGGCTATAACGTGTGCAAAGTTAAGTGCAAAATTAGCATGAGATTGTAATTAAAAGACTTATCAAATTACTTTGAACAGAAGCAATGAAATAAATAAGTGCCTTTTCAATTCCCTACAGTTTGGAAAAGGTTGAGCAGCAGATATTAGAACTATCTATCTGAACGCTCAGGAAGAGCTGCTGCATGGATAAACCTCTAATGAAAACCTCTAAACCAGGGCTGTCCAACTTCCACACAGCCAGTGGCTATACACACTGCAGGCCACATGAGCAAGGGCCACATCAGGACAAGCCACAGACCCCTATGTCATGTGCTGCACAGATGTCCCTGTGGTACCCTCCCAACCAGTACATCATGTTCCCACAGGGCCTTGGACTCACCCTCTGTTTCCAATACACCACTGCCTCATACCTCTGGGGTAGGGACAGAAAGCCACCAAAGGAGGAGAAGACAACCCAGGGTTTCTGTCTGCTGCTACAATCAGAACAACAGCAGGAGCAGTGGCTGAGGAGCCGAGGGCCGCAACTTAACGCCTCCCAGGCCATCAGTTGAACAGCACTGCGCTGCTCTAACCCAGGATAACTATACTTTTTGAAAATGAAAGATTACTTCCTGAAGAAAGTGATGGCCTCACCTGGAAAAGACCAACTACTTGTAAGCAGTCAGTGAGAAAATACATTTTCCAAGCTAGATCCTTAGATTTTGTGCGCTATTTTTAGAGGTGCACCGATACATCAGTCCGATATAGGATTGGCACCAATATAAAGAAAACTGACTGTATCAAAAATCGGCCTGATGTGGCCGATAATTTGACTGCTAAATGCCCTGTGCATGTGCACGGCCACAGCACAGTACGTAGGTGGCTAGGAGCACCGACTGGCAGCTTGGAGAGGCGTGTCCAGCAGGTAAGTCTGTTGTGGTGGAAGGGGAGGGGAGAGGGAAGGGATGTAGGGTGTAGATCAAAG